ATGTGTGGTCCTTGGCCATCAGCTAAGACAAAAATGTTGGGACAAACTTCAAACCCTTTGGGTTCAAGGGCAGTCTGTCTGGTGGCATCTGGGGCGTTTCTAGGGTGCATACTTCATCATCTCTGTGAAGGCAGAGTTCCAGATTTGCACCAGGCAACAGCACAGAGTCAAAATACTCATCTCCTCTGGAATAATCTGGAAAATTGGAGTCTGGAAAGTAGACAGCCACCTGCCACCTTAGTTTTAACATGGGTGATTGGCCAATAATATTAAAAATGTCCTGTTAACAAGCTGGAATCTGCACTGTGTTATTCACTGAAACATTCACACAGCAGCAGGCAAAACAGCAAAGTTTCAGCCACAGTCTAGTCTTACTGCCCAATTTATGGTACCTTTATTTCTGAAAAAATGGTGTTGATGTCTCTCAACTGCGATTTGGAATCTGCCAGGCAATTGAACAGTGAGAGACTAACTACCAAGGCCATCATCAGATATCCCTCATTTTCTGTCTAGAAAAATAATTGCCCTTTTTGAACAGGATGAAATGCTGGAACACTGGTGGAATGGAAATTGAAATTTTAAAAAGGAAATGCTCTCAGTAAAGCAGTGATTGGGTGGCACTTTGATTTGGTCAGACTCAAAGCTAACTTAGATTTGGGATGGTAGGGCTGCCCTTGTGATGTCTGCAACTATGGATGTTCCTGTGCAAGGATATAGATGGGTCTGATTTAGCCATGTATTTTGAATGAGCCAAGGAAAGAGGTCTTTAAATTTCCCTGTTCTGTCACAGAACAATTAATACTGTAAGGACTTTGACACATTGATTTTAATAAGCTAGATCCTGGAAACACCACCGGTCTTGAGTGGATCCTCTAGTTTTGGAAGAGCCCCTTAAGAAATGTGTAGCCGTGTTGTCGGATAAGTCGTGATCTGATTTATACTGTGCTACAAAATTCAGTGTATGCTCACAGTGATGCTCCATGCAGAGTGTTAAAACAGTTCATGTTTGCACCTGAAGTGATGTTGGACTAAGGAAGGAAATAGGCAAATACTTGATGCACTTAGTTAAGGTCCTTAAGGTTCTGGAGAATGGGTGCTTTGGGTAGTTGTTGATACAAACAACAAACCCTTTCTGCTGCTGCTGGGACCAGTATGACCAAAGGCTCACTAAGGTGTGGGATCTTCTGCAGAGCCTCCATCCTGCTGAGGGGCATCACGTCTTACCACACAGGGAAATGGTTTTGCTGCATTTTCACACCTCTTCATGCTTGGTTCTGTGTTGATTGTTCCTTGCTTGAGTCACATCTGGCTGCTCCAAGAGTGGGAGGCAGCAGAAGGCAGGGAAAAGGCTTGGACAGTTCTGCCAGCAAAGGCAACAGGCTTGGTCCAAGCAAAGCAATTCAGTTTGGAGGCAATATGGAAACACATTGCTCGGAAAGGTTGCTCAGAGCAAGTGTGTAGCATTAAGTAACATATTTATCCTGGAGTGAAAGCATGAATGAGTGGGGTTTCTGTTTGATTATTAATATGAGCAGCCTTTGTTAAGCTGGGCGTTTCTGTTTGGAGTTTTGTGTGGAGATGGAAAATCTGTTAGAATATCGTTTCCTTTTGGAGAAGTCTCTTCTCCAAATCACATTTAAGTTGCTGTGTTCTTGAAATTTTTCCTTTAAAAAAATCCTACTTTGGATAAATGGTTATATGAGGGTAAAGGAGAACTGCTGTCTCTATCTCTCTTGTACAGTGAGTCTGACACCTGGGCGTGCTGAAGTCTCTGTGCCTTGAACACTAGGTTATTGCCTGCTGGGGCTCTCATCATCATTTCTCATTCTGGGCTCCTTCCTCTCCACAAAAGTCTTAAGGTTTCTTTTTTTGTTTTCGGACAGAGATTTCTCTAATTTCCAAGTGTCATCCCATCTCCGTGATAAAGTCTAGTGGTGAAAACAGACTATTTGTTACCATTTTCAGAACAATCTTGAGCTGCAGTTTTTACAAGGACTCTGCTGCAGTGAAGCTTAGGGTCCAATGTCATTAGGACTTTACTTTTGGATAGGTTATAATTCCAGATATTTTTGTTTAAAGATTATGTGTACAGGAGAACAGTGCACATGGTTACTAAATTTGGGAGACACATAAAATATCTTCTGTCACCTTTTCATTTTAGTTTTTATAAATGTCTGGAAAATTAATTAAAAAAATGTGTGATTTCAAATCAATTGAAATGCTTAGGTTCATGGAGACTACTTCACTACACTTTATTTCTTGTAACAAAAGTGATTTGACTTATTATTTGTGATAATGAGGGGTTTAATGAAAGCAATTAATTAAATGATTTGTTCAGGCAGTTTCCACCACCTAAGCCTCCATCATTATGCTGCACACAGAAGGAAAAAAAAGATAGCAAGACATCAGGCAAAAAATCCAGCAAAATGAACAAGGAATATTCTAAGAGACTCACAAACACCAGGATATATGTAAATACTGTACTAAAACTTTTGTGTTTGTTCCTTTGATTGTGCTCAAAGTAAATTGACAACCCTGTTTTATTTTGAGGACAAGGGTGTTCGACTCCTTTTGTAGCTGTCCTCTAGAGCTGTGCACTGAAACCCAACACCTTTTGCTTATTTCCCTAGATACTCTAATCCCTGCCTGCTTTACCAGTATCTTTGAGCTGTTCTTCCCTCTGTATCCACAGCAACGTGAATCCCTGCTGGAATTATTTGCTTCTGAAATGCAGGTGCACTTGTTTAATGTTGCACTGGTTCAGGCTCTTAACTTGAAGACTTTCTCACCAAATGGGAACCTCTGCTTTGCCCTGTTTCATGTCAGGCATTGTTATATTTATTAGCAGCATGTAAGTCATTCCCTCTCCTGACACCCACTACCTGTTTCCAGAGCCTTGGTTGTTTTTCAATTGTTAAGAGCTTTTAGACAGCAGTAAGGAATCAAAAACCATCTTATATAAACCATCCTTTTGTTAGCCTAGAAATAATGAAGCTCCATGGAGGAAAAGGAAGAATGTGTAGAGTGAAGGAGTCAAAATGCTCCAAACTGTCACCTCATGACAGTTTTCCATCTCCACACAAAACTGTGCCAGTGCCTGGAAGTGGCCGTGGCTGAGCACCGCAGCGTGCCTCTAGTGTTCAGCCTTGTATTTAAGTGCCTGTGTATATGTAAATATATTTTACATTCTGGGGTTAGGCAAGCCAGCTGCAGTTCTGAAATCAGGCTTGTGTGACACAGGGTACAGCATTTGTTACTTATTGAAAGATTCTGATAATTTTCACAAGTACTAGCCTGTGCTTAAACATGGAACAAATTTGGACACTTAGCAGCAGAAGCAATTTGCTTCTCTGTTTGAAAATGAGACTGTTCTTTGCATGAATCTGTGCCTGGAGCTGTGTGGCTCCACAGAGCCGGAGGGCAGCATGTGGTGCTCGAATCATGGGCAGGTGCCAGGTACCAACCCCTGGGTCTGCCCCCAGCATCAGTGTGCCTCTGGGCAGTTTTCATCCAGTGTGCTTTGTGCCTTGATTTTGCTCAGTGTAAAGTGGGAATCAAAGATATGACTCATTTCATCCCAGTATTCAAAGGGGATGCTAATCAACATTTTGATGCCTATGAGATGGATGAATGGGAAACATGAATTAATGTTTGGGGCATATGGGGATGCCATGGGAGCACCGAGGTAGAAGTAAGTCATTAGTAAATCGTACAGAGTGAAAGGTCTGAATTGAAGCCTCCAGCTCAATGGGGAAGAAGGGAACAAATACCATATGAGTGGGGAAATCCTGGATGACTGCATGTGGACTCAATAGAGGTAGAGCATCTGCAGAGGAAAATAGTATGTGCCCAGATCAATAAAGTGCATCATAGTGCAGTCATGCAAACACAGCACATTAACGTTGCTTAGGACCTTCATTCTGCCATTTTTCTGATGCTTGCTTGCAACACTTTCAGCCTAAATATTGTTAGTGTAATTTAAACTTAATGTTATTGTAGCACCTGGGTTTGGAGACCTCTTGGCAAGAGGCCGTGCAGCATGTACAGAGGTGACTTCAGCTCCAGGCTGGAAGGAAACCTCCTTGCTATGAGGGCAGACTGTCTAGGGTATTTGTGTAATTAATCACATGTATACTGAATGCCAAGGAGTCGTACACATGTTTAGGTGTGTGAAGTTACTGTGCTTGTTCTGTTTGCACCCTGTGAGGAGCACTCCCTGTGTGCAGATGGCATCATTCTGCATACTCTACATTCAGCCTCATGGATCAGGCTCACTCTCATTTACATGAAGACCATTTTGTATCACTCAGCCAGCATAATGTGGCCATAAATGAAGAGCAAATTCTATTTACACCCACCTCTGCAGAGTGACCTTAATTTAAATGAGAATCAGGCCCATAATCTGTATAAATATATGCACTCTGTTACATTAAGGTTATTTATTACTTTGTGCTCGGCCTGAGTATGCATGGAGATTTACCACAGATAATCCATAATCCAGAATTAAACTATTAATATGCATTTCAAGAGGGGCAGCCATAACCTTGAAATTCCTTGGTTTAAGTATGACCTTTAACTTTGTTTGAATATATTTTTTAAATGTATGAATAACAAATTAACATTGGTTGATAAAAAACATTCTGATTCCTCTGTACCATTTGCATCAGTCCATCCTTAACTTACAGAAAGCCTTGAAGATTAGAAGGCTTAATCACTCATAATATTTATTTGTTTTTAAATGTCAGATCACATTTAGTTCAACATACTGTCAGTCTTGTCCCCCCTCCTCAAGCTGGCATTACTGAAACTGCAATGGAAATTGTTCTTCTTTTTGTATCCAGAGACACCTGTATCTGAGCAAAGTGACCAAACACTTCATGCCTGTGTAAAGGAATTACTTTCTGTATCCTCCTGAACATGGAATTCTGAGCTATGCTGTTCCTTTGACGAGTCCTCCGAATTTCTGGTCCAGCTGGGGCTGTTTGTTTTTCTTTCCACAGGCCACGTCTGAAGTTCAACAACCTGACCTTGGTTTCCATTCATGGCCTTCCAGGAAAAGACCCACCAGGCTCCAAGCATAGAAGATTTTTAATTAACAGGTTTGGCTTCACCTCTAAACACTTCCATAGTTCCAAAGGAAAACGTAACACTTTGTAATTCTCGTGAACTTGTCCTACGTTTTAGATAGGTACACAGACAGATAGCCCCAAAATACTCCAGTCTGTCTATCCAGCATTCACTCACCTGTGAGAGGAGTTGGATAGAATTGTGAGTAGGAAAACAGTGCCAAAGCAGTAACTTCAGGACAGCCATCCACTGTGTTATACCAGGACACTGGTCTCTGCTTTCCAAGGCTTTTTGCATTGTTTAAACCTCCAGTTTCAAAAGAAATGGCAGAAGATATCTACTTGCTTTTTAAATCTCATTTGGTTTTAACTTTCATGAATTTTGTTCCAAATAATGCTGAACAAAAGAACATACAAGAATTCATGTTAGTAGTGTAACCAGGCACCAGCAGAGTAGCACATGGTTCAGAGTTCCCTGGTGACAGTGAGCATTTTGCTGGATGTACAGGGGGGACTCATAGGATTGTTACTGTTGATCAGTTTAGCAGAACTGTGCTGCATCAATTCTGCTGCTCATAGACTGTGTGTGTGCTGGTGCCTGGGCTATGGCAGCCTGTCCCCAGTCCCAGAGCCAGGGCTGGTGCACAACAGAATGGAAGATGGTGAAAGAGTCCTGTGTGTGCCTAGGGAGTGTCAAACACTTCATGTGTTTCCTTGTTTGCCAGTAAATAAAATATCTTCCATCTCCTAGGACAAAATCTTACCTCATTGAAATTCACAGTACGTAATTCTCACTTAAATGCAGTATTTTTGTTTTGATGGCTTTATTTTTTATTCTGGAATAGTGACTAGAAATCCTCGCTGTGGGCAGGAACATGATTGTTCTGGACATTGAGAAGTATGGAATTAAAATGGATCAGTTATTCTGAATAGCTGGGGAATGAACTTCGTGTGAGTTACTTGGATTTGGCATGTGACTCTTCGGAGCCTGCACATTGTATTTTACCACATCTTTTCCTCAGTGAGCAGCAGTGCACTAAAGGGCTCTTTAAATGACAAAACAACTCTGTGTTTGCTTGCTGAACCTTACAAATAAAATCTCTACAAAGATGTGAAAATGTTTGGATGTGAACCTGTTTAAAGCCACTTGTTCTTGTTTGCAATGTTGCCCTGACGAGGAATTTTTTTATAAGTAGTTACCTGAATTAATATTTGTTATTGTAGAAAGGTGTGTCTTCAAGTACAAATCTAGGAAATGAAAGGATTAAATGCTCACATAAATGCATGTACTCTTTTTGCTAAGTGCACTGTAAAAAAGACTTGTACGAACAAAGCATCCTTCCTGATGGAAAGTTGCAGTTCAGAGCTGCCTCACCAGATTTAGCTGTTAAAATCTGAAAGCAGATTAAGAGTGAAAATTGAACTCTGCAGGGTATGATTTCTGAAAGCATCCCTGTGATTTTGGAGTGTCAGTCTCCCGGGAGCTGTGCACCTCAATTATGAAGGTGGTTTTGAAAACCCTCCTCTGTCCCTGATGTCCATTTTATTTATAGATTTCTGCATGATTGCAGTTTAGAATTGTCAGTGGTTTTCTTCCCTTATTTATTTGCCTCTGGTACCTGTGAGTACAGAAGATGCAGACCTCAGAAAGCCTGGCAATTCTGCCCTAAAATTCTCCAGGTCATGAAAGGAGCTGCACTTGTTCCTGTGGCATTCTGAATGCCAATTTTGGGAATTTGGTAGCAATAATTAACATGCAGCAAGCAGCCCCACGTCGGAATGTGTATTCTGGTACAAGTAGCACAGTAGCAGCTGTCAGCATCAGGTCTCGGCCTGGTGCTCTCTGCCACAGCCACCAGCGTCTCAGAAAGGCATCAAATGCTCAAGCACAAGCTGAGTCCCCTCTGTTTAATCACATTTAGGCCCGTAGGAGAAAGTGGAATGTTTTTCATCACTCGGTATCAATGGAAAGTCAAGTTCTTAGGCCCCTGAAAGCATGAGCTTTGTTTGGCAGATGGAATATATTTTCTGTAGTGACTTGAGCTCACACCTGAGTGAAGTCCAAGGTCTCTGTATTGGCCATTCCCATCCTGCCTTATGGCTCTGAGGTGCTGGCAGGGGTGACAGTCAGCTTCTTTCACACAGGATGTTCAAGCTCCTTCTTCTTGCTGTGTCACTCCAGTCTCACAAAATAAACATCTGTATGACACCAGACATTCATCTTTTTTGCTTTTATAAAACCTGTTGCATTCTCTTTCGCTAGATCCTATGGGTTTATCCCTCTACAAAGCTATAAATTAGTTTGTCAGTTGTACTGAAAGAAGCTAATTGAACTACTGAAATTGGTTTTCAGTATCAGGAAGGTATGGAGTTGAGCTCAGCTGGATTTGGAGAATGGCCAACAACCCCCTGTGCATTTCCATGGTGGGCTATTGCCAGGCTCTGGGGTGTTCAAGGATCGCAACAGGCCTTGTTGGAAGTGTTCTCTGTCTGGTCCTTCTCACATTTTACAGTGATGTGTCTGTTGCACATGTGCATCGAAGTATTTTGTCATCATGAATCTTTGTCTTTCCAGAAGTCTGTTAAGCAGAGAGGGTAGTACAAATACAACAATGACTAAGTGTCTGGTATTTCCTTGGTTGGGCAGAGTAGGTAACAAATTTAGTACATTTTCAGAATTTGTCATTCTTACGTTGTGGAAAAGTTCATTTGGAAAAGGATCACCAAGAGGAGATTTGAGATCTCTGCCTTCTAGCTCTGACAACGATTTTCCTAGCTTTCTATTAATTTTCAAACTTTTTGAACTAGTACTTTGGAACATGGTTGCTAAAATGCCAGTGGTGCCTTCCCTGCATCTGTATCTCACCACACCCACCGCTGCTGAAGCTGAATAGCAAAGGAAGGAAAAGTGGAGGGAAAACTAAATAAGGGAGTCTTGTCTTGCAGAAAGAATTGGACCATCGAAGTATTTTCTTTGCAGGTGCAAAAGCCTACTCCTTGCATCAGCCTGCAAAGAAAAAGCAGAGTAAAGCATGTATTTCTGACCTTGTTCTTAAATTATGTGGTTGTATGGCCCAGTGCTGGGAGGGATTGTTTGGTTTTAGCAGAAAGTTGTCAATTTGTAACTGAGTATTTCATAATTACTAATCTTTTACCGTAGACTGCCGTAAACTCACAGCGAGGGAGCGAGCTGAACCACTGGGGGCCTCGGGCGAAATCACCAGATGTCTAATTAATGCCTGCTGTCAGCTGCCGAAATGTCACTTACAGATATTCTTTCTTCACAGCCACTGTTTTAATGATGAAGATTATGCACAGATGTCACTTTGTTCCTGGGTTAACGTTGTGGTTGGTAAAATGACTGGCATAAATCGCGCTGCCAAATACGTGGTTGTTTCCAAGGAGAAGAAAATACCGTATGACTACCTGGTTCTCTGCACGGGACAGAAGTACCAGGTGAGGTTGTGTGTGGAGTGAGAACCAGCACAATATTCCCAGTGTTCACAGTGGATGGTGTTTCTGTGGTCAGCAGAGCTCCTGATCAAGTGTAGCACCAGGCAGTTTGCAGCCCTTCAGTGCAGCAGGTTGTGCTTTGTCAGTGTGACTGTTGAGCTCAGAGGAGAGGAGAGGTTGGGCAGAATTTGCCACCAGCAATGGCACTGCACAGGGTCACATATGAAGCAAAGCTGCCAGTGTTTTTGCCACCGTCACCATTAGACCTGCTGAGGACTAGGCCCAATTGACATGTGGCCACAGCCACAGGAGACTTAACTCCAGCTGGTCTAACACCATTTGACCTAGTTTCGGCAATGGAGAGAATTCCTTATCAAATTAATGACTCATCTCACATGATGACCATGCCTAGGCACGTCCATGATGCTGCTTGGTATTGTGGCACACAGCTGAGCTTCTGGAGAGATTGAAGCAAATCCTTAGCTGAATGTCAGATGTGAAATCAAGCTGAGCTCTAGGCCCACAGGCTCAACTTCCACTTGGACAGCCGGAGCAGGGTTGGTTCTGACTCACGTATCTCCATGAGGCCATCAGGCCATGTAACCAAATGGGCAGCTTGGTACAGCTCCCTTCCTGCAGGAGTTTGCCTTACTGAGTGGTTTGGGATAGGAATTGTGAGCAAGGCATTTTGCCTTTATAATCAGGAGATGAATCTGACCACATCCGCAGGTTTTTAGAGTGCTGTTCCCCAAGTTTCACACATGAATGTGACAGTGTTCAGCCCGCAGTGGTGTCTGACTGTGTGTGTGCAGGAGGCTGTGGTGTCCTGTGATCACAGGACAGCAGCCCATGGTCACCATTCAACAGGGATGAAACAAAAGCTGAAGTGTTAGCTGAATGACTTTAGATGCTCCTAGAAAAAGACATTTGGAGGTAACTCTGACTTAAAAAATAACTTACGGGAGGTAGCTACAGTGGAGAAGGAAGAAAGATAAAGAAAGCAAGAGAAAAGTCAGGTTTGATCTGCCTTTGAGAAGAAAACCTGCCATCATCTCTTCTCACTTCTAAGCTCTATGAAAGGACAGGAAGGAATTACTTTTGTCATCTGGGTTCTGTTTGATTACACAGAGCTGTAGTTTATCCTCTTTGTAAGTTTTTCCTTATTTGATAAGCAGCCAAATTTGTTTTGGTTTAGTGGATTTACTTGTTAAGTAAGATCTTTTGATGTCAGGCCTGGTTTCATATGATCCAACAGTATCTCAGTTGATCCGGTTGGCAGTGAGAACATTGCTCAGGATGTGGATCACTGGTGCTGCAGAAGTCAGATAAGATTCTTTTTTTGCTTTGTACAATTCAGATTGAGTTTGTTACTGCAAAAGCACCACTATACAATTAACATGTTACTGAACCCTGGCATTTGAACTGTCAAGCAGGTTGTGGTCCCTTTCTCTGGGACAAAATCTTGTTTTAGAAATTTGATTTTTGCTGACAAAAGGTGGAGGCACTCTGGCTTCATAAAGACTTTCCAAGGGCTATTTAAAGTTACTCAGAGAACTGCAGAGATCCCTCAGCTGTGTTGCTGCATTTCTGCTCTTTGCTGTGCTGTCTCTCATGTTTGCCATGTGCCTCCACTTGTACTGGCACTCCTGTTTGAAATGGTCACCCACATCCCATAGAAAACAGGGAATACATGCAGTGTGTATAGTCAGATCAGCACTAATCCATGTTCTCTGTGGCCACGGAGGAGTTTGCTGCTGCTGAGTGTGCAGAAGGGTTGGGATGTGCAAAGACAGCGGCCCTTAGGTAGTCAAAGTCAGAGTGTCATTGTGTTTTAACATCTCCGGGGTATGTGCCATATCCATTCACTCACTGATTCATTTCTTCCAGGCCCTGGCTCCCACTGGAGCGGATATCAGTAAGCTGCCGACTAATAGAGAAGTCATGAATAAGTGGCCACAGAGATACACAGGGAGAATCCCTTCCAATCACTTCACTCTCAACAATGACCAGGACTGCTTGCAGGCAACACAGTGGCTGAAGGAAAACTTTGTCCACTCCAAAGGTGAGGGGGTTCGTTAACACATACACACTTATAGAAATGTTTTTGAGGCATATTGTTTCCTTAATTCCATGGTATAATTGGTGCCTGATTAATTCTAACAAAGTCTTTCATCTGCTGTGCTTTGTTTTCCAGATTAATTTACAATTTGTTGTCATTTTTGATACCCAGCATATTTAGCTAGGAAAGAAAGGCTTGAGATAGATTAATTATCTGCAGTTATTATATAAAACAAAATGAGTCCCAAATGCAAATCTGGCTGGAGTAATTAATTAGCCAATCAAATAATAATTGAATTAGTGGATATGTTTTTCTGTTGTATAGAAAAACATCTAGGTTTGCAGTGTAACACAAAGAAAATAGGTCTAAATTAGGAAGTCTCTGTCAGTGTTGTATTCAGTTGCATCGGTTAGATTTTCACACAGAACTGCCAGCTCCTGGTATTTTCTTTTTAGCCCTTAAAATCAGACATTTGTGCAGATGTTCACCATCCCTGTGTTTCCTCAGCCTCTTTCCTATATTCATTAGTCTGTTCACTGAGGTTGTGCACTTTTAAAAATATCTGGGATCATCCAGGCTTCCGAGTCAGCTTTAGACTACAGAAACAGTCTGTGAGTTTGTGCAATGTCAGTTCTTGCTGGCTCTGTGTGAGGAGAATGCAGAGCAGGACAGCCATCTTTGTGGGGAGTTCCTGTTGATGGAGTGTAACAGCAGGACATTCCTGAAGATGTGTTTTACCTGTTTTCATAGAATGTGATGAGAATTGGCAGTGTTTTGGTGTAGTGCAAAGTTCACACCTGCTTGGCAGTCCTTTAAGGTAGTTCTTGAGAAGTTCCTGTATCATCTTCCAGGTCTTGCTACGATCGGGACAGGAGCCCATAAACATGGTAATGCTTTTTCAGACAGCTTCCCGGCCTCAGGCATGTCAGTAGAGCCTCTGTTCCACCTGTCCTCCAGCTGGGACCAGCCCTGCCTGCACAGCCTTACCTGGTGTCTAGCTGATACAGCTGCCTTTGCATAAACAGATGAGGTTGTTCGTTTTCCCTGTTTGCTATTGCTAGTCTTTCATGTAAATCTGTGCATGCCCAGTCCTGGAATGTGCTCTGGTACACCTGCACAGAGACACTACTCAGGAGCAGCTGCCATCTGGGATGTGAGGCACTGGGAGGATCCGTTGCTCTGTGGGCAAACAGCACACTCACAGCATCTCATCTGCTCTGGCATGAGTGCACCTTTACCAGTAGTAATACTAAATTCATGTCATATTAGTCTTGACTCCATTATTGCTGCTGGCCCTTGTCACAGTGTGAAATTGGGTCTTGTAATGAGGCTCTGTTGTGTCTTTGGGTCTAAGGAGCAGGGCAAGCACCAGCCCCATGGCTGCCCTAGGGCAGGGCAAGCATTGGCCCCACAGCCTCTGCTGTGGCTTGGCTGATGGAACCCAGCCACCTAATGCATGGAACCTATTACAGCTGTAATTGTGACTAATTGAAATTCATCTCCTATTAGCTCTGCACTTTCCATGAAAATAAAAAGTAGGATGGAAGTAAAGTAAGGAACGAAACTGCTTTAATGGCCCAAAATGGAGCAATTATTTTTTCTCTTTACCTAAGCATAGTTTACTGCCTTATTAAGTAGGAATACTCTTGCATTAAAATTCCAGTGCATGAATCACCACCTGGAGCCACCAATGCTTTAGTGCATACTGGGCTTCTCCTTTAGCTTTTGCAGACTGCAAAGATTCAGGTCACACTAGGGTCACTGAAATCTTGTACTTCCACTTGTGGGAAATGAATGAGCCTGCTTTGCAGCAGGACGCTGACATTCAGGTAATAAATGGTAAAACTACTGTAATGATCTTTATTTATGGCTGCTTTTTCCGTGAAAGATTATTATGTTTATTCACAGATAGATGCATTTTCATGTAGTTAAATAATAAAAGCATCCTGAGGAACTGCTCTCTGTCCAGTGGACATAATTTCAGTTCATAATGAATATCTGTAGTTCCTAGACTACTACCACTGTCAACTAAAAAGCCACTATTATTGTAATAAGCAGAAGCAGTAAATTGTTGATTTACAAGAGGTCAGTAAAGGAGCATTGCTTTCCCTGATCTAATGCAGTTGTATTTAATATTACCATATAAAACAGAATTTTAATTTTCCTTGAGAAATGTAGGTCTCAAATCTGATCTTGTATATCCCCAAATGCCAGTATGTAATGCAATAACTGAGCTTCCCTCCGAGGGGGCTGGTGCTGCTGTATGGCCAAGGTGCCTCAGCCCAGCCTTGCCTGCCCTGGAGTCAGACTGGGGCTTTGCTGTGCTGTGCCTCTAAGACTTCCTCATCCCCTTTTCCCAGCCACTGCATCCTCTTCAGCTCCTGATGTGTTTCACTCCTTGCAAATCCAAAGTGTGTAAATGTAGCATGAGGCTGTGAGCACATGCACACCAGGCTCTTGTCTGCACTGTCAGCACATTGAGTTACTAAAAATGAGTAAAGCAAAGCTGCTCTTTCACCATGAGTTCTGCTGGGTTGCCTCGCTGCTGCAGCAGGGAAAAAATAATCAGCCTTATGTCTGTCTTCTCTTTTGGCCCTCTCCTGAGGCCAGTACTACCTGCAGACAGGCAGCCTTGGCAGGCATGAGCCATGGGCTCTTCTGGCTTGGAAAGTCAGCTCAGTAGTGGACACATTGGACAGAATTCCTCTATTCTGCATGATATTTCTGAAAGTAGTAAGATCTATTTCTTCTTATGTTTTCAAACTGATACATGTGCAGGTAAAATTGTTCTGTCCCTCTGGTCATTGCTGTGAATTGCATAAACATGCATTCCATTATTTTTGAGTATGTGTACTTATAGGGCAGTTCTTTTCTCTGGCAGCTATGAAGAGAGATGTTTATTTGGCAGATACAAGTAGCCAAACTGATAGAGACAAATAAAATAACCTTGTAGTCAAAGGGGAATGGTAGAACATCTTTATCATTAATATTCTTGGGATCTGAGGCTGTGTGCATGCTCGGTCTAGTATTACCCTGTATCTCATGCAGTAAAACATGGTCCCAGTCAAATTAGTTTAGCCTGTGAAATAATACAATTTAGGTTATAGGGAATGCTGTCACTTGTGGCGAGACATAAATGCCAATGCTGAGATAAATGTGCGAGTTAGTTGCAGCACTGCCCAGGTATGGGACATTAAAGCACTGGGAACGTGCTTTTGATGCATCCTTGTGCAGACAGGTCAGATCCTTGGTGTTCTGAAACACCCATCAGACTCAGCATCCAGGAGCTGATGTGGACATTGGCAGGCAGGCAGAGATGTTCCTGCCTTTGCCTCAACCTCACAGCCAGAGCCTGGAATGGCTGCGGAGCATGTGGTGCATGGAGGAGCCTGCAGGCTTGGGCTCAGCCCTCCTGTGATCGGCAGGAGCTGGGCTCAGCCTTCGTGGGAAGGGTCCTTAGCCCCTGGGAGAAATGTTCCCAGCCTCTCCTAGGACAGCTGGATCATTTTGCCTGGATTACTTGAAAGCTTAGTGGATCATAGAGCAGATAAATGGTTCCTGTTCCAAGCAGAGGGGCCGAGAGAACAGGGAGGAGAGGAACACGTTTCAATCCCTGCTCAGAGGAATGTTTTATATTAACCCTCCTGAGATAAAACACATAGCTGCTCCGCTGCATCCCAGCTCTGCTTCCGTTATTGCCAGGAGGGCTTAGCCATTAGGCTGGAGAGTCCTGTTGTGCTCACACAGAACACAACAGAACCCTCCCATCCCCATGTATTCCCTCTCAGCTCTGACTGTGCTGTTTGAAGTGGCACCAGTTCAGCATGAGAACATGCAGGGTCCTACATTACAGCTCTGCAGAGAAGGGCAGGAGGTGTGGGTTGGGTCAGATCTCCATTACCCAGGGTGGGAAGATGGAGCTGGTTTCAGTAGTGGTTTCTGCACTGGTGCCGATGCTCTGCAGAAAGGGTGGCAGCTGGTCAGATGTCTGCCTTCTCCAGCCTGCTGACCTCCCAGCAGCGAGCAAGGACAGAGCCTGGATGGCTTGGAGCACATCCTCAAGGCATTTTGGGTTTGGGTGTTGTGTGACGTGCTATGTTGAGACCTGCAGGTTCATCCTGTGGCCTATGGTGGTGGGACACAGTGTGGGGGGCACACAGCAGCAGGCACAAGATACATCTGCAGGGCTGTCCCCATTCTCTGGAGATGAGGCTTTGGTGGAAAGAAGCAGCGGCACTGGTGACCTCCCATGTGGCACAAGGGCTTGTTTTCTATAATTTGGCCTTTCCACACTTTGGTGGTTTTTTTCTGCATGATGTACTTAATTTGCTCCTGTCTGCTCCCCCCTCCATCAGCCCTTTGAATGAGCAAAATTGAGGAGAGAGAGGAAAGCAAAATAAAAATGGTGATTTTTTTTTTTTTTACCCCTAGAGGCTTTTCAATCAAAATAATTTCAAATTATGAGGTCAGGATGAATGTCATACTTCTGTGTTAAGTACTTGCCTACTTTGTGGGATGTTTTGTACAGATTCTTCACTAAATTATCTTAGCTACTGTTGCTAGGTAACATTGTTTTCTTCATAGCATCAGAGAAATAAGAGGGTCAAAGAGAGCAATTTCATGTTATTATCATCTGAGTTATACTAATAAGGTTTTCATTGTATGTCTTAGAATTTTTTTCCCCTTTTTTTTTCCTCTTAGGGAACGTCATTGTCTATGGGAATACAATTGACATTTACACCACGGTAGAAACCCTCTTATCTCTTGGAATCGATGGTTCTCGCATCCATCTCGTACAGCCTCCGCTCAGCTTGGATGTTACTTGCCTCAACAACGCCAACCTGGAAAAAGCTGTGTGGGAGGCACTGTCACAGGCTGGTGTGTCCGTGCATTGTGACAGCATCCTGGCACAATGGGGTGAAGGCAATGACCCAGACCTGATCACCTATGCTGCCTTCACTACTGGCACAAACCCGTTTAAATTGCAGTGCTCAGTAAGTATATGCTTTCAGTGTATTCCCTTCAATTTGGTTTTATGACAAAGGCCATCAAATTTAGATAGTCCCTTGCTGATTTATCTATTTCCTCATTGTCTCTAGGAGACTGAACATTCACTGGTTTGTCTCAAGAACTGTTTTTTTAAAAATCCAAATAAACACATTGTTAATGCCCTGACTGATTTGGATTAAAATGTATTTAAGTCACCTGACATACAAGTAGTTGCTCACTGCTGAGTGACAAATACTCTTAATTCATTTACTAAATAATTCCAGAAATCCTTTTATTGTTTAAATGTGCACAGTTACTCCTGTCTAGAAAATATTAGGATACAGAGGCATACTATGTAACTTAATTAAAACATATTTTAAGCAGACTTTTCTCCCTCTGCATCAATGACTGCAGTTTTGATCATATCCAGTACCAATCTTTTATGGAAACTGTAAGCATGCTTATAGATGTGGCTCTGCTCTGGGACTGGGAACAGGTTTTAGCCTTTCCTAAAGGGCAAGATAGTTCTGTTTTCCTTCTGATAGAGTCACTTCAAAACCTCCATCTGTAGGGAGGCACCAGCACCTCCGCACACCCCACTGTGTTCCTTTGTGCAACCAGTCAGTTGTAACTGTGGAAAGGACAAGCTGCCTCTCCCAGAGAGCTCCCCAGGCATCGGGGTCCCTGCCGGCTCCTCTGCACTGCAACCCTTTTCATTTAACATATGGAGAGCTAAGCCCTTCCTGATGGAGGTGAAGACCTCACACAGCACTTTTATCCATAGCAGTCTCCTGACTTTGGTCTCCATAACAGTAGTGACATTTGTTCTTGCAATTTGTTATCCACTCACCACCTCACCTTCAGCCCCCTCTCTTTTCCCCACCACCTTGCCTGTGTGGCCTACACTGTTCCTTCAGACCCCCATTGCCTCGGGGTTTGTTTCTCCTGCACATCTGTGCCCCATGCCTATCCTTCCTCCAGCCGTGGTCCTTCCCTCTCGGGGTCTCTTTCCAAGCTTCTACGATGAGAGACCTGCAATTACTTGCGATGTCAGGGGCTTTATACTCTCCAAAATTAGTCCAGCTCTCTTGCAAGGCTCCTGTATCTGCCTCCAGCCACTTGAGAGAGGAGGAGAGGGCACTGGAGAGCAGCCTCCAGCAGGAAGGCAGCTGCACTCACGAGGGAGCAGACTGTGCAGGAATCAGCACTACAGCAGCTCTAGGCCTTTTGGGATTTGAGCCAGTATCAACTGTTGATTGGCAGTTCTTGGGGGCTTAATTTGTTGAGTCCTGCAGGATAAAAACAACAGGTTCCCTAAAGCAGCAGCCTCTCTTCCTCCCTCTCTACTTCCCTCCCTCCTGCCTGGGCTGACAGATGGCTCCCAGCCTGGAGGTTGCAGCCCTCCCCTTCCCTCCCTTCCAGTGACACTGTCCTGCCTGTCAGCTGGCAGGACATGGAGCTGTGTGGTCCCCTTGTCCTCACGGGCCCTGATTTTGGCTCTACTAGGTGGTCAGAATTCTCTTAGGTATGCGTAGTTCATCACTTGGTTTATCTAGGAGTAGATATGACTCCTCCACTGCTGCATCTCTGCTGTGCCAATGTTGCTAAAATTTCCAACTCCCTTTGCTTCCCTCTCCTGTGCCTTTTCTTCCAGCTGGCTCATCCAGCAGGTTGTGAGCATCTGACACTTGCCCTTAGTCACCAGGAAAGCTCTTCGGGGATACAAGTGGGTAACACCTTTACCCAGGTCACAGCCGTGTCCTCTCTTGAGCTGGCACTAAGGGAAGGACAGATTAGTGATGCTGCTTTGTCCTGGCACAGTTATGTTTCAGACTGTTCAGGATGAATGCATCAAGGGAACATGTGCTCATCTGAGACCCTTCCACCAGTTCTTCAGCCTGTACAGGAATACTTCTTGATGAGGGCCAGCAAGATTCAACTCGTCTACTGGTTTTATAAGCCAAGGACACTGGTGGCAGGGAAAGTCCTGTGTGAAGGCTATGGAGCTCACAAACTGTTGTGGTGATAAGATGGTCAGTCTTCATCTGTGTCCTTTGCAGACCATGGTCATGTTCAAAACATCTGTCAACCTTGTCATTCTTACTCCTTTTAACCCTCAATGACCAGTGTGCACTCTTCATCTGAATAGGCACTTTTGACCTCAGGGAGCACATCTTTGGTTCCATATTTCAGATGGGCTTTTGCTTCTTTAAAGTTACTTTTAGGCAATGTAGAAAACCAGATAAAACCCATATCAAGCCCAATGTCAGATGTGGATAATTCTAAATGAGACTGGAAGCTCCTCTCTGCTGATCCATGCACAGAGCCTGTGTGGAGCTTGTGGACAAAGGCAGGGGTGGCAGCAGGACCCCACAGACCTCTCTCCACACGGCACTGGGTTTCAAAGTGGCTCCTCAGGCATCCAGCCCACGGTGTGTGCTGTGCTGAGTGCACATGTGTTCTACTGCGGTGCCCAGAGCGTAGGATGGATTGGTGGCCACTTCCAGCACTGCCTGCTTTGCTCTGCTTGTCACGGCAGTGCTGCCTCAGCTCCAGTTTGGGGGAGATGAGGTCTGATCTGCTTCCTTGTGCCCCAGGATAGGGACTGTGCAGGCGCCACAAGAAAACAAAAGGAGGGAATTATCACTAGCTTTTTTCTTTGAGACTTAGAGGACGAATTTAAGGATTTAGGGTGATTTTCTTTCAATGCCCATGAAATCTTCCTGTGGGGAAGAAGAGTTTGTGGCTTCAGTAGATCCTGGTCCCAAGACAATTCCCTACCTCAGGGCCAGGACTCTAAGGACACATAAGACAGCACAGGCCATCTTTTCCAAGAGTAGAAATCCCATCTTTTTTCAGTTTCACAAACCAAAGCATAGTGAATAAGTATCTGCTGTGACATTGCCAAACTCAGCAGCTGACTGTCAAATGTACCAAGTACTTGCTTTACAGACACAGCCTCTTCTGGGCTGGCTGGATGATCCGGAAGGATGTGATGGCCAGCTAGCCCAGGGTCTGGTCTTGGAGAGAGTGGCAGTCCCCTGCTTTAGGGAGCTACAGGTTGGCCTGCCTCCTAAAGCAACTATGATCCAGGTCTGGAATAGGTAGAGAGGTTTGGATGTGCTTTCCAAAATCTCTAACGCTGTCAAATGTAATGAATCTGAATGCTTCCCTGTTCCTGGGAATATTTGGTCCTTTTGCACTTCTCACAAGCTTCTTGGCCTCTGCAGCTTCCACTGGCTGAAATTCCACTGCTGTAGTTGAAATGAGGATGACGTCTCCTCTGAACAAGTTTAATTTCTGATCTTTCTATTGCATTGAATATCCCTGTGCTGGTAGCCAAAGTAACTCAGGTTGTTGGTAAACAGGCACAACAGCTGGGGAAATACTTGTAATACACAGTTACCCTGCTAAACGCAAAGTACATTGTGCTTTTCTATTCCTTGGGGTTTCAGGTTGGCTTGAGCATTTGAAAGAAGAAAACCAACTCCATAAAGGGCTCGGGTCAATCTTACATGCTCATACTAACACAGAAAGTACACATGCCTCCTTGGGCTGTTTGATGTAGTGAACACTGGAGTTTTTGAAAATAAAACTTGTCTAATAAGCAGAAGCAGATGAGTCTAACAATTCTCCTTTCTACTGTCTTTGTTTTAATTTTGGTAGCTGTAAATGCTGGATCAGAAGGATTTACCTGTATGTTTAAAACCACACTTTATTTCATATACTCATTTTGTAAAATAAATTACATTCAGAACAAAGTGTAGGTTTTGATATATGAAATGAGCCAGTAATTAATATATAATAATCTACACTTGTTTGCATCTCTTTTTAGGCATTTTTTAGCTTTGCCTACAGGGAGGTGGATTATGAAACCTTTAAGGCAATCAATGATGCTGGTCTTGTTTTCGATGGAAGACTCGTGATTGATGCCAAATTCCACACCAATGATGTCAGCATCAGGGCTGCAGGTCCTCTAACAAAGTTCTCCAGGAGATATTATAGAGATGAATGTACACACAGCAACTTCAGCTCCAAAGAGATTGGCTTTGAGCTTGCTGCATCCATGCTGAATCTCTTTGATCCAACCTCTCTGCCCAGCGCTGAGCCACCAGAAGGTCCAGACAGACTCATCCCCATGTACAAAGGGTGTAAAGTTAAAGGTATGTCCCAACAGATTTCTGTCCTGCTTCCATCCCCTTGTTGGTATTTCTTCTGTTCTCTAGTAAAGGCAGGTCCATCTCACCTCAGGTGCCATCTCATGGCAGTAAATCCCTCAAAGGTCCTTATGTCGTGGAAAAAAACGATGGCAGAAGGAAGGCAAACAAATACTTTATTTTCTTCATTGTTTATGATTTAATAAATCTCATGTTTTCATTTTTGACAGGAGGTGTTCTCCCTGGAGGTTATAATTACTTGCACATTTCCAAACCAGCAATCCCCATTTGCTTGGATGTAGAACTTGCCCTGTGTGACCATGTAAGTTAAATAATGGAACTTTGGTTCATCCTCCGTTTGGAAAGATGTTCTTATTTAGGGCAGTGCAGGTACTTGCCTAAGTAACAAAATATCTTGAGTAGCTGGAGACCTAAAGCTAGATAAACCCAAATCTCTGTGATTATTGGAAAATATATGTTTTAATGTAAATTCACTGTCATATTGTAAATGTGGGATACATGCAGGTAAGATTATTTGACTAACTTCCTTACTGCAGTTCTGAAGGGCCACATGGCATATCACCCCAGGATACAAAAATGGAGAAGCTGCTCTTACTGAAGAACTTGACTTGTGAGACAAGAAAAGGACTAGATTAATGTCTTTTAAAGCCAGAGAAGACCATCCACTAGACAGAGATTGTACCTTTTTCCTCAGGGATTCCGGCATCGAGACTATTCTTGCAGTTTATTTAAAGAGCAGCTTTTAGAAGACTACTTCAGTGTTGACTTTAAAACTTGGACAGTGATGGTCCATAGAAAGAAATGGGTTTTTAAAAAAGAAATCCATGCTTAGGAGGAGGAATTTGTTGGCTCACCTTATTTTCCAGCTTTACAGATCCAGGATGAGCCACCCAAAGTAGCATTTACTGGGAAGCAGAAAGGACTATCAGAGTGAAAACTGGTTTTGTCACTTCAAATTGCTAGAATATGGTTAAAATTCTTTTGCTGCAGCTGTGATGACCTGCTGTCTGAAAAGGGACCATCTTTAAAGCCACTCCAGAAACTTCATATAAATCCTAAAAGAATATCCTAAGGAAGAAGTAAGAGAGGCTAGTAAAAGGTATTGGCTGATATGTGTAGGTACCAAAGGGTCCTGTAGCCTAGCAACAGGTTGTAGAAGTGTACAAAACTGGAACAGAATACGGCTTGAAAAGATAGCTTAGAGCTATTTGATCATCCCCAAACCTCACTGCAATGTGAGGTTTGAAGCAAATGTTACATTTTCTTTCCTTTTTGGATGGCTGTTTCAATAGATCACAGCTCTGACTAATAGAAAACTTGTACACAAAGCAAAAAATGCTTAATTGGTATGTGGTAAATCTTTTGAGTTGCACCACTGGAGTTTGCCTGTACTAGTTAACATGGTAGTGTCACCCCTCTGCCTGCTATCAGACAGCTTCTACCTCATGCCATAAGTTTGGACTCTGCACTTAGACTGTTTGCATATGCATATATAAAAATATAGATGTGTAGTTATAAATTTGGAGAGAGAATAAAAGTCTGCTGGTATGTTCTTCACTCCTCAGGATGGGATCCTCAGTAAAACCCTATGTGCCATGCGTATGCAATGATACTCTGTGTTATACATGAGGATGAATAGAGTTCAATTGAGTTGCCCAAACAGAGGCATCTAGTGTTGTTTGGGATGCCCCAGGGCATCCCTCCTGACTCCAGCTGCTGCTCCAGGAGGTCAAAAGTCCCCATGGATCGGGTGTCACACTACCAGTCTGGATCCCCTCAGGTGTCTGCAATGGCACTGAGCCCGTGCTGCAAGCATGGCTGAGTGCTGCACAGTTGGGTGGGCAGTTAATCAAGGTCGAAACCACACAGAAAATCTGTGTCTAAGCCTGTCCACAGCAAAGTGCCTTATAAACTGCAGTGCCAGGAATGGTCTCTTGATTTTAAAAAAGGGGCTGTGGATATTAAGAAGTGGTAACTATGGGCTGGGAACCTGTGCTGTCCCTGTATGTGTGCCAAGTCAGGTGTTCCATCCATCTCCACAGCTTTCCTGGTGTTTTCTGTTCCAGGGCATGGAGATTATAACTGGAGAGGCAAGAAATGGGAATTACTTCAGGATGCATTTCAACAAATACAGTATGGTGGACAGTATCACCTGCTTCTCCAAGGAACCCCTTCCTGTCTCCAACTATGTCTGCTTGTACCAACAGCATGAGCGTCTGCTTAATGACCTGTATTATCGCTGGAGGAATGGGCAAGTGACAGACCTTTACAGGTAAGATGCTCAATGTTGTGCTAAAAAACTACATTCTGGCAGAACTTTAGTTTTATTTTATTATGGTCTGTCTTCTGGCTGTTTTCCCATAGAACAAGAGGTGGACAAAGAGATTGAAATATTTTTCCCATTATTTGACAAAATGATCAGTAGTAATGCAAGTCCTGAAGACCTCCCTGGAAAGAGCTGTGTGTCTGAGATTTTTTTAGAGGAATGGTGGTTTACTTGACCATCTTTCATCTGAAAGAGCATTTCAGTGTTTTTATAACTATTGCTTAGAGTATTCAGCTGGCATAACTCATTAAGCTGAACCTGAACAATCCTTTTATTAATGAAAAGTCACTTTTAAAAGTATTTTTGTCACTTTGAATGAAACCTTTAAGCTGAAGATTTCTAGAGTTTAAAATCACTCATGGTGATAGTCACACTCAGCAACTTGCCTGCTTTTATCTAGAGATAAACCCTAAAATTTATCCTTTAGACTGTGTGAATTTATCCTTTAGACTGTGTGCTCTGTGTAAGGGAGTTACTGTAACTTACTGTTATAGCTAGAGGCTGTGTCAGGAGTCTGTGTGTTTAGTGGAGGTTTCCCATACAGCTTGCAGGACCCATCCCACTGTAGCACTCTGCAGCAATGAGAGAGGTATGACAGTTTCTGAGGTGCCTGAGCAAGCACAGGGAAGTCCTTGGGACAGGTGTTCCCAGACAGGTCTCCTAAAGGGTGAGAGAAACCAAAGAGCCTGGTTACTTCTTGCCAAGGGTTATGTGCTGTCTCCTCTGAAAGAATTTTTCATTGCTTTTTTCAGTTCACTTTTTAAAGATCCCTGACAAATGGTGTTTGGGAACCTATACTGTCATGGAGAGAGAAGTGAAGTATTGCCATATGTCAGCTGGGTAGAGACACAAAGCCAAGCATGGGAAAAAATGGTCCACTTTTATTGTGATACAAAGCTGATAGTGGTGCCTGAAAACTCACTGGGTCTGATTTTGTTATATAACTGATGGAAAAAAGGCATAAATGGTAGCAAGATTTTCTGATTAAACATTGTTATTTAGGTAACAGTTGGTAGAAGTTTGTTTAAAGGGTGTGCTGTGGTCCAGAAGAAACTTGTGAATTTTTGCTGCTACATGGCTTGATTTTGATTTATGGAAATATTGGGTTTGTTTTACAAGAGAGGAATGAGACACAGCTAATGAGAAGTTCACATGGGCAGCACATTGTCATTAAGTGTGAAGTAGAAACGGAAGGAGGATGACACAAGTGTATGCAATATGGGCTGGGACAATAGTTCATTTTCTTTCCTTGTCACAGCTCATACATTTGGAGCACTGGAAGAAACTCAGTATTCAGGCTGTGCCAAGGTACTGACAGTGGGTTTTGTAGTGTTACAATGTGTACACATAGCAGTGAGCTCATCTTTTCTGTGAACCATACACTGAGGCCATGGTTGTTTGCCCACACATGGTTACAGTGCCAGTTGTTAGATGTACCAGCAAGTTTCACACCTGTCAACATCTGGAAGAGTAAATTGTCTTGCTTTGGGCTTTCTGCCTGCAGCACAGGTAGCGGTATTTTCCTGACCTTGACCAAACCCACAGTTGTCCCCTTTCTCTGTTGCTGCACATTGGGCAGTCAGCGCAGCCCAAGAACCTTCGTGCAGCTCACTCACCTGCACTCCTGATAGCTGCACACACAGGTTTGGATGAGACATAAACTTTCTTCTCATTTCTGATGAGGGAAATTAAGAATGTGTTAGCCTCCCTTATGCTTGTGATCGTGATAGGATCCCTACACAGGGCACAAGCTGATCAGGGGATTACAAGTCAGATCAAGTTCTAAACATCCACAGAGATTGTGAAAATCTCAGGAGAGGTGAAGACCTTGGTGATGATCTGTTAATAGGATGTCAGGCCAGTCAGCACTGTATGAGTGAGAGGAGCAGCTTTACCTGATGCACTGGGGAGCCACCTGCTCCTGCAAGACTGGGTGTATCTTACCTGGTCTGTGCTCACCAGGATCCTGAGCTGTGTCCCCACATACCAGGCACTGGGACCTGTGTGCCCGGTGGTCTGGCCAGGATCACTGGTGTGCCACACAGAGGCACACTGTATATCAGGACCTCATCACATCTCTTGAGGTCTCCTTAAATTGTGATGGTGAACTAATTTTGGACTTGTCTTCTATAGCCTTTTAGATGGAGATGTCGTTTGAGATCTTTTGCCTCACCTCTCATTAGCTTGTGGCGAAATTCCTGACTTAGAGTTGCCAAGTTTTTCTTATCTGGTTATTTTATTGCTTCTAGTCATTTTTAATCTTCTTTGTACCTTAACTTTAGATAGGTTTGTTCCTTCCCTTCTTGCTCTTTGGTCACTGGGATGAAATCCCATATGTTGCTGTGCAGCAGTTAACATATGCTGTCCTTAAATCCTCTCTTGCATGCTTCTTGTGGCGCTCTCACACACACACACACACACACACACACACACACGTGCATTCCTGTTCATCCCAGGCTTGATGTTCCTGTTACACATGTCTGTCCTGTGAGGAGGGCACATTCTCCAGCAAGTGTAACAGGTGGGAAGCCCTTTGCTGTCAGCCAAGGCAGAGTGCAAAAAGGAGAGAAAAGGGAGAGGAGACAGTGAGGGGAGGAAGCAAACTGCCTGTCATCCCCACGGAACAGAGCTGGCATGGGAATTTGCTGCTTTTAGGAGGAGGCAGAGCAATAGAAGAAGGCTGGCAATATAGTGTATTCTCATATCATAGCTACAGTACATGTACCTCCCCACAATACAGTGTTACATACAACATACATATATGTGTGTGCAATGTACAACAACAGTGTTAAAACCGAGCCACAAGAAGACTGTTCATTAGAAACCCATCACACTGAAAAATGGTTTACCAGTAACGACTGTAGGGTTGGACTCAATGATCTTTGAGGTCTCTCCCAACCTGGTTGATTCAATGATTCCATGTCTCGTGAGATGAAGGTTGTCTTGAGACTTTTCTGTAGATAAAAAGTGGTGCCTGGTTGGCTTTTAGCAAGGAAGTGAAAAATGCATTCACTGGTCTCTATGTGTGTGATGAAAAGCAGAACTGTTTTGGGCATAGTCCACATGGTCTGTAAAGATCCTGCGTGAACACAAACCTGAGGTTAGGACTGAATTTCTCTCTTTGGCTTTGAAAAAATCCTTCTGAATCTTCTAGCAAGACATGAAGTGCCCTTAATGAAAAGAAAATGTAGACTGTGAAAATGTTGTGGTTTGTTAAGTTAAGCTTGTAAACTTGATGGTTTGAAACATCTGTTCCCCTCCTCCCTTCTTTTTGCCTCTGGTTTGGGGAGGGCCTTCCTGTGAGGCAAGGAAGTGCAGTGTTTTAATCTTTTGGTCTGCATTTAGATTTCCCAGCGTGGCATCTCATTCCAGGAATGGACACAGTAGAACAGCTGTCACCTGGGAGCTAATTTATTTCTGTGTAGCATGCAAATGATCTTTTAAATAATTAGAGACTGCACCTAGCAGTGAATTTCCTCACTGATTTGCGTTCAGTGTAAGAGCTGAAAGTTAACCCCATGGTACCGGATTTCCTGACCAGAATGTGCCAGTGCCATTCTCAAATTAGCATTAACAACAGGCCCTCGAGATCCAGCAAACTTGGCGAAGTCACCCCTTCCGCTCGTGTGCCTGGAGCTGTGGCTAATGGGAATAATGAGAGAAAGAACATTTCCTTTTGTCTGGAGAAAAGTTTGATTGATTTCAGTGTGACTTCAGCATGATTAAAAGCTGCAGGACTTGACCCACAACCAAAGGAAAGATTGCAGTCACTGCTCTGCCTCCTTCCCTCAGTACCTGTGCTCTGGGAAGGAGGTAAAGCAGCGCAGTGGGCACCCATCACCCTACCCTGGAGCAGCTCACAGGGCTCCACCAGTCCTGCTGCCTGAACCCAGTCCCATGCTGGAGGAGGAAAACCTCAGCCCCTAGATGCTCCAGACCAACATGCTGGTGCCCTCAGGCATGCTATGGCTGATGTGTGTATTCTGACTGCTGCCCCTTCAGACTTTAGGTTCGTACATGTCTCAGCCCTGTAAGCAGGGACTGAAAAAGACAGCATGGAGTCACCTGACTCTATTGCCACAGTTGCTGGGCTGCACAATGCACCAACACATGTACCAGTGTAAGCTTTCCATGGGTCAAATACTCTTGCTCTGTTACAGTGTGTTCACATCTCACTGAAAGCCTCAAATGCTTTGGAATTGTTGGGGTTTTTTTCATGGAAGCAATGCTTCCAGCTCTCATAGTTAAACCAGTCAACACTGCATCTGATGGATCTAAATAGTTTTAAAGTTTCTTCTCCTTTCTCCTCCTTTAGCAGACAGGCACCATTCATTTCCCATTAAGCTGCCGCTCAAAAAGCCTGAATTGTAATTTAAGCCCCCAAGAGCAAGGCTCTTTCCCACAAGGAAGACTTCTCCCAGAAGGAAAAACAAACCAAATTCCGGTAGTTTCATCTGAAGTATATCGCACTGAACACCATGCTCCTTCCCTCCCTTGCTCACTGGAAAGCCTTCGTGTTATTTCCATTACCCTAGCAGCAGATAAAAGAAAGGGGTGGGGAGAAAGCATCTGAAACATTTTTTCTTCCCTTTTTTTTTCTTCCCTTTTTAAACATATAGATTTGTTACTGATCATCAGTCCTCCACACTGCTTCACAGAGGAGGAGTGTAACAAGCCAGTGACCCCCTTTTGTGTTCTCCTGAGATGAAGGAAGCTGCAAGGCAGTTGCCAAGTTATGGAACGTGTCCATGGAGCAGCGGAATCTCCCTCTGCTGCATCTTAAGTACAAAACGGATAATTAGAGGGGTCTCCTGATACTTGGCAACGAAATGGATGCTCACTGGCATCATGCCTTTAATACGAGATAGAAGTGCTTCGTGTAGTCTTCATTTGGCATTAATGAAAAGCAAATCTAACATAATGCATAAAAATCTGACCCACTAGTT